AGAATGATACTAGACTATCAGAATTTTAATAGTGATCGTAATAAAGAAGAGATTTGATTAGTCGCTAATGTATATTCTAAAATATTCCTAGTCGATGAAGTATTGAGATAGGACATCATCATTTTGGCAAGACTAGTGTATACTCTATTTGTCCTTTTGAAGGGCGATGATCCATCTCTTAGATCATTGATGCTAAGACATCAAGATACATGTATACAGGTGCTCATTAGTGAATAAGTTCACTGAACAACTCACTGAGAATATCTGGTTAGTAATATACTTAACTATCAAATAGAAGTTCTCTAGAGATATAGTACAAAGTATTCTCTTGACCTGAGGCATGGTGCAATATCTTATATGTTAGTATAGTTGTACTTAGACTTTTACCTAACAACATATCTTATTGAGTTGTGTATACGGGTTCTTGTTGGGTACATCCCGAGACACGTGTAGATATTGAGATGTCAAGATGAGATTCGTCTCTAACAGTATAGGGATTGATGTCATATGATTGTTTGATATAACTATAGCCTGAAAAACCTTTGCCGATGTGAATAAAATAAACTGAGTGTCAGTTTAATCTTATAGGTTATAAGTTTAATATCAACAAACACTAATCAAGCTATTAGGGTTTGAAAGTTTACCATATTCTTGGCTTGATAGTTTTACATGGTTTGACAAAGAGACCGGACTGTATGGTATTTATCACTAAGTGGTCCTGATAATAATGGGTAACCATATTGCAGATCTTTATCAAAGTATATGCCTGGGTAGTCTTCCTGTGTAGCTTGCACTTTTGTTATACTTGTGGATATGATCCACTGTCGAGTCCTAAGTTGGGCCCTAGAGTCACACCACGCGCGTACGTGAATCCTATGAAATACGAATTATAGAATAATGCGTATTATTGATACGCATATATAATTTTTACCAGAAACGCATAAATGGTTATATGTATCGGTAAAATCAAGATGCTATGTGCTTAAGAAATGAATTCCATATTTTTTTCATAAGTTGACTTTATTAGTCAACTAGTTGACTTTTGGTTACCAGTTGACTTTTGGTCAACAGTTGACATTTAGTCAACTGGTTGACTTTTTCGTCATCTGATGACTTCTTAGTTAAAGATTGGAAAAATACCAAATACCGTATTTATAAAATGCCGTGTTAGTAATAATAATATGGTATTTTTATTTATAAAAATACACATTTTAATTATACCATGATTAATGAGTCATAGGATGAGTCATTAGGTGGTATGGTTTGAGAACATAGTTTTAAGCACATAAGTCTGGAAATTTGATGACTCATGGTATAACTCATAGAATGAGTCATTGATATGTTAAACATTTCTCATGACTCATAAGATAAATCATTATTTTTGATGACTCATGCATGACTCATAGGATGAGTCATTGATATGTTGACATCTCTCCCTCTATAAATATGAGCTCTATCCCTTCTTTGATGGTTAATGAAAAAATGGCTAATTCAAAGTTGTTTTCCATAAGAGAAGAAGAGAGCTCTACCTTTTACTATCCTTTAGCAATCTAAAGTAAGAGGAAGTTGTAGGATTCAAGAATCCCAGGGTGGATATTCTGCCTTGTGTCTTAAGAAGCCTCCAATTCTTTTCTTGTTCCCTTGAAGCTTTGAAGATAAACTACAAGAAGGTTAACTACAACAAGGAGAACGAGCTAAGGGGTGTTGGTTGTCGAGCATTGATTTTATTTTTTGAGCTTCGACATATTTGGGTCATCTTAGCCATAGGTTGCTGACTGCTACATTTGGAGTTATTGGATCTGGTGGAGCTGCTTCAGATTTTGGTTGGTATAGGATGTTTGGTTACCCAGTATTTGGTCACATCGTGGATATGAGATTTGATCCGATTACGTATTTGGGATTCAGAGACTCGTTTGATTATCGGTTGGGAGCTTCTGATTTTGTTCTGAGTAGGTATGTCACTTTTGACTCTTGGCAGGTGAAGAGTGTTGATCAGGTTATTTGGATATCGTAGCAGGTGGAGGGTGATGCTACTTTACATTGGGTGAAGATTACTCCACATACTCCAGATCATATTGTATCGTTTGGGATTCTAGCTGAGGTGACACAGGTTGGGGATCATTTGGATTTGGATACAGATGATTGATTGGTTTTGGATTCGGTTGCAACTGATGGACATGATTTGGATGTGGCTATTGGTTCACCTCAGATGGAGGTGTTTGATACGTTTCAGTTTGGGGTCATTGGAAGTGTTATCAGTTACAGATCCGTTGGTGATATTGGTGAAGAGTTGCGGACTTTTTTATTTATTTGAGGGTCTTTGGAGGCCATTTGGATGAACTACGTGAAGGCTTAATTCCTTGGGCAAGAGGATACGTAGGCAGTCTTTATGATGCAGCCGATTTGGTGAGTGGATACCGATGTTTGGAGAGTGTTCGTATTCTCATTTGGGTCTCGACTTGTTGTGGATTGAGTCCGTTATCGTGAATCGTTTCACTTCGTACTGGACGCAACAAGTGAGGCATTTGGTTTGGTTGGTGTCGGCTTAGTTTTGGTAAAACTTCGCCGAGGTGGAGATTTGTGGATAAATAAGAGATTTGGTCCAGATTGTGCAGATTCTGTATCATAAGTCGACTCATGCACAGGCATAAGTTGACTTATGGTAAGTCGATGGTAAGTTAACTTACGTTTTGTTCTGGAATTGTTGGTTTTGGCTCTGTCAAATCAACTTGTGAAGCCTGTCAAGTCGACTTGTGGTAAGTCGATGGTAAGTTGACTTGTGGTAAGTTGATGGTAAGTCGACTTACGATTTGTTCTCCAGTTGCTTTTTTTCTCTCTTGCAAGTCAACTTATACACCATGTTAAGTCGACTTATACACCAGTGACCTTGAACCAAAGAACCAGGGTCCAGCCTCAAGAACATCCATCATTTGCTTCTTAGATTGGAAATCAAACAAAAAAAAAACCCTTGTTTAATCAAGAAAACTTTTGGCATTGAGATTTTGCCCCCATGGTTTTGCAACATAAGATTCCATAGATCTGAATTTAACGTTAACATGACCTATCAAAGTGAATTCCCAGAGATCTTCATATTATTTCCATTCTTTCTCAGTGAAAGAAACAATATTACATTTGGCACATGGAACAAAATTAAGGATAAACCCTTTCTAGATTTTCTGTTATCAGCAAAAAGGCTAACAAATGATTTTCTTGATTCATGCTCTTTGTTTTCTAGACTTATATCCTCCTCATGAGCTACACTAATTGTTTTTTTCATTAAAATCTTCTTCTAGAAAGGGATTTTCAGTTTCATCTTCCAAATTCTTAGTCTGAGCAATAAAAGGGGTGCAGATCTCAGCATCTTCTTTATCTAGATGAATATTTTCAATTAAATCAGTTTCAATGTTATCATCAACATCATCAGCCCACAAGTTTGATTGAGGAGATTTACTTAACTGACGTATGATCCTAAGATCAGATTTCTCCTCCGGCTGAGGTGGATCTGATAAGGGATCTAAACTTGCTAAGGTTTCGCTCATCTGCAGCTTCCTTTTCGCTCCCTTTGGACCTGTGCTCTCCATGATTTCAGAGGTCAAGGAGTCTACTGTTCCATCGTATTCACCTCCAGAATTGGACGAAGAGGGAAAGACGAACATAGAATCTCTCACCTCACTGCTTGGGAATCTCTCACCTCACTGCTTGGGACTCTCTTGTCACTGCTCTTCTTCTTCCTCCTCATTTGAATCTAGGCAGAGGTGCATGTTAGAAAAGAGAAAGTTTCCCGCTAAAATGCACCAACACCAACAGACCGCCCCTTAATGTACTTTTTAGGAGAGAGATTCTTCCTATGGTAGTGTTTATTAGACTCGGTCCTTGCTTAGCTGTCTCATTCATTGGGATCACACTCTTCGCGTACTCATGTGCTCATTAACTCTAGACGGTGTGCTCTCGCTTAATGTGTAAGGAGGGTGTTCGATCTGAACTTTTACTCTCTGGATGAAACAAAAGAGAGATGATTAAAGCGTAGAAGTGGATTTTAGGAAAATTTCACAAACCACCGCTTAACTTCGATCGTTTTTTAGGAAACCCCCTTAACTGCTATAATTTCACAAAACCCGTTGAACTTTGAGGCTTTTTACACTTTATCCTCTGAATTTTGAAGCATTTTTGCACAAGATCCCCTAAACTTCTTTTATTTCACTAAACACCTTGAAGATTTTTCACTTTAACTCCCAACATAACATCGTAAAGCTCATGTGTCATGCCTCAAGCACATGACAAAAAATGCAAAAGTATCTCGGAGCCATAACAAAACTAATAGATATAACAAATGGATAAATGAGTAATTTTTTATGACTGTGGGATATTTTTAACTTTTTTGTCCGCGTTTGTGGCATGTGACACGTTAGTGTTATTTTTGGGTCATTAAAGTAAAAATTGTTCAAGGAGTTAAATGAGATAAAAGAAGTTCTGAGGATAATGTGCAAAACCCCTCAATTTTCAAAGGATTTTTGTGGAATTAAATAGTCAAAGAGGGTTATGCCAAAAAAGTACAAGGTTAAGGGGGATTTTGTGAAATTTAACCTTGACTTTATTTCTTGATAAAGATAATTGTATAAATTTTACATATGACAATTTATGGTATGAGATATTTAACTGATTCGGTGCATATATGACACATTTCTGCTCTATGAGAGGAATAAGGTATACATGGAACATTTTAGGACTTAAGAGAAATGTTAGGGTTAGAAAATCCACACTGATGAATGAAAGAGAGATGATTAATTTATATGTGAGTACTTGATTTCATTCCTTCACAAAAGAAGCACTTAACTGCATTTTAACATATTTTATGACATGTGATAAGGAGATAATTGTAACTCATGTTCGACACATACGAGACATGCATCTTCATTCTTTACAAGTAAAGATGCAAAACGATAATGATCCACATGGAACATATTTAGTGTGTAAGATTTCTTTTTTTTTTCCGTGCAGGAACCGATAAGCGTTGCAATGCCTAATAATTAGAAATTAAGGATAGACATGCTGTAGACACCGATCGACCCTTTGCTTTTTAAACTAATGCCTCAAGCTCCAACCACTAGGCCATGTAGGGGTAAAATAAAAATATATTTTATAACATATATTTGTCCTTGGTTTTTCCTTCGAAACTTCTGAATATCAAAAGGATTTTTTTTTCCTTCCCTTTTTTATGTCCTGTAATGATATGAAAGTACACGACACCCTTGATACGTATTGGCGCATGTATCTTCGTTGTTCTGCACTTCAGTTCCTCAAGCTATTTTCTGGAAAACAAAACAGAAGCCCCGCAGATGAAACAAAGGACACCTTTACTTCAAAGAGTAAATGATTTCGAACATCTCAACCCATTAGCTTAGCACCTTGTAATGTATAGATCCATGAAACATACCACCGGATGCATAAGAAATTTTCTTCAATTCAAAAGAAAAAGATCTTTGCAAAGACTGAACATTTGAAATGCCCTAGTAATTCAATGGAGAAAATGGATAAATAAAAGGACACTGAGCTAACTAATTAACAATCGCATTCTCATTTAATTGCATAACTTTATATAATTGGCAACTTATTACCCGTATATCCATCTACTTACTTATATATCGATGCAAAAAGAACTGGAATCAATTCTAATTAAGCCCCCCATATTTTCTATAAGCTCCTGGCTACTTATAAACACTATATCCTAAAGACTAGAGCTAACAAGAGCTGACCAATTGTCGACCCCCGTGACATTCTTGAGCCCTACGTCCGTAAAATCTATCTTTGAGTTGCTGAAGCTCCATGTAGTGCACTGATGGATTGCCATTCCTCAGCAACCCTAGCAGATGCGAGAAAAGATCGATATCACACGCGATCCTCAGAGCTCCATCATAAGAATGCCCAAACTCCTCCACCGAAAAATTAAGGAGGTCTTCGAACAATGGATGGTTCAGAAAATGTGCATCCAATTCAAGCCTCTGTGGCTCTTCAACTCCGACGTAAACCCAAATGCTGCCTTCTTCGAGATCATCAGCAAAGCTCTTTGCTCCGCAGAAGAGCAACTTCTTCAGTTCGCGTGCTATCGCCATTCTATGCCCTCTTCTTCTTCTTGGATTATGTTTGACAAGTTAATTAATTTTGTATTGAGGTGAGATGGGGGGGTTATGGTGAGGTTTTTATAGGGAAAAATTAGGAGAGGTTTGATGCTGAGCCAATCAATAACAGGGATAACTAAGAATAGAATAAGTGGTGTTGTGAGCCTGTGGAGGACAGAGGCAGGAATGTGATAGCTAAAGTAGAGGAGAGAGGAGAGGAGAGGAGAGGTTGCTTAGTTTGAGGGAAATTTGGTTGTCGTGCGATGGAGAGAATTAATGTGCAACATTGGATTCATTGCACCGAAGTCTTTGTAACACCCTGGCCTCCTGATGAATCAAGCCGCGGAACTCTATCGTCACACTAATAAGGGCTAGTTTGGCAAGAGAAGTTTGAGAGTAAGGGTGGCAATTGGGTCAGATAGGACGAGTACATGCCGGGTTGAATCTAGATTGATTTATTTGTCATAGCATTTAATGAATGGGAATCTCGATCAATACCTGTCCTTCTTAGTAACCAGGCTGGAACCAAACAAAGTAGTTCATAATACGCTTAGGTAAATTAGACGATTTATTAAATATATCCCCTTGCTCTTATATGTGATCAATGATCAAATTGCAAACAATTATTCATGTGCTACATGATTAATAATGCCAAAGTAAGAACAATTATTCACATGTTATATGATTAATAATTACACACAACGTGACGATCTCTCATCAACTAAAATTCAAGTAGTTCATAATACGCTTAGGTTAATTAGACGATTTATTAAATAGGTCAGATAGGACGAGTACATGCCGGGTTGAATCTAGATTGATTTATTTGTCATAGCATTTAATGAATGGGAATCTCGATCAATACCTGTCCTTCTTAGTAACCAGGCTGGAACCAAACAAAGTAGTTCATAATACGCTTAGGTAAATTAGACGATTTATTAAATATATCCCCTTGCTCTTATATGTGATCAATGATCAAATTGCAAACAATTATTCATGTGCTACATGATTAATAATGCCAAAGTAAGAACAATTATTCACATGTTATATGATTAATAATTACACACAACGTGACGATCTCTCATCAACTAAAATTCAAGTAGTTCATAATACGCTTAGGTTAATTAGACGATTTATTAAATATCAAATTTACCACCTCGCTCTTATATGTGATCAATGATCAAACTGTAAATAATTATTCACGTGCTACATGATTAATAATGCAAATCTGCAAACAATTATTCACATGCAATATGATTAATAATTACACATGGACTGGCGATCTCTCGCCGACTAAAATTAAAGTACTTCAAAGTACTGCATAGTTAGTTTCAAAATTTAATTATACTATTATTATTTAAATAAAACTTTATTTATAATTGTTATCCTCTCACATGCAACATCATATACCAATATATATAAGCCAAGAAATTATAATAATTTCTATATCACTTTTATCTCTTTCTATAGGCATGTGCCTTTGCTATTAGATTAGATTAGATTATTTTAAAGCAATTAATTATATTGTATATCTGATCTTTTTTAGATCAAGAAATTACAATAGCTTTCACAGTACTTTTATCTCTTCAACAAGTATGTGTCTTTGTTACTTTCTTCTTATTAGAATAGATTAGATTGTTTAAGAATTATGAATTATAAAATTGCAACATTTTTCATAGTACTTTCATCTATTTTCTTCTTATTAGATTAGATTAGATTATTTTAAAGTAATTAATTATATTGTATGTTTGATTTCTTTTTAGATCACAAAGTTTAATTATACTATTATTATTAATTATATTGTATGTTTGATTTCTTTTTAGATCACAAAGTTTAATTATACTATTATTATTTAAAGAGATACTGTTTGTATAAAAGTCAAAGAGAATCTCACACATTCTTTGATCTCAATGCCAATTATAATACTTATAAATGAGTTTTTGTTAAAATAAATTTTATGTATGTGGTTAACTTATATGATCCTATTTTAATCAGATTAGATAATTTAACATTTGTTCTTTACACTCAAACTCTTTCATAAAATCAAGAGATTTTTAAAATTAATCTTGGGGGTTGCCTGCATTAAAAATTATGTTAGAGGGCCCATACAGTCTGTTTTATAGTTTAAAATTGTCAACACTTTTTATCTCTTATGCATATCAATTATGAGTAATAATATAATTTAATTGATCTAAGTGTATCCTAATATATTTCTGGACTCTTATATTATCTTTTGCTCTTTATCATGTACAAACCTAACGATTCTTATTTAATTCCTTCTTTTTTCTTTTTTGTCTCTTGACATTGTCTATTGTTCTTCATTATGTATAAACCCATTTCATGGATTAGGGTAATGGTTTTTGAGGGGGGAGCAGAAGACAAATATGTTGATTTTGGTGTTAGACTTCATTAGTTGAAGAGATTAATTTCAAGAAATCCAACTCCAACCTGATATCACAATTAATATAGATGATGAAGACGCTACTCTAGAATTGCTCAATAAAAAGATAAAGGTGAAGAAAGATTGATCTCGACTCAATTAAAACATGAAATAAAAAGAATAAATGATAATATTTTTTTCAACATTTTATACTATAACTTAATTTTTGAGTAAAATTAGGAATTTTTAGAATGAATTTTCATGCAAAAATTTTAGTATTTTTGCATGCTTTTGTGATTGCTTTTATCACATAAAATTATACCGTAGTTACCATTAATCTTTAGTTTTGTCTTTTTATTATTTTAAGTCTATCAAATATATATATATATATATATCGTATGCTTTTGAGATTGTTTATTATAAAACATGAGCTTATAATGGTTAAAAGTGCAGTATAATTCTATTTTCAATGCAATAAGAAATAATATTTTTTTATTGCTAGAACTATAGTTCATAATGATATTGTTATTCATCCTTGGCTCCATACTATAACTTAGGATTAGTAGAGTTTATAATATGACATGTAGTATCATTTTAATTTATTTTCTTTTACTATTCTTCTTGAAGATATTATTATGTCAGCTAATATTTTTTTGCAAAAATCAATTACGAACTGATCCAAGTATGGATGGAAAACCCGATTCATCAAATCCATGAATATTGCGGGTGTATTGGTCAACCCAAATGATATGACAAGAAACTCGAAAGACCCATATCGAGTCAAGAAGGAAGTCTTGGGAATATCTATCTCCTAAAATCGCAACTGATGATAACCGAAACGAAGATCTATCTTCGAAAAACACTAAGCTCCCTACAACTGGTCGAACAAGTCATCGATCATCGGTAATGGGTACCTATTTTGGATAGTGACCTTGTTTAACTCGTGATAATCAGTGCATAATTGTATACTCACGTCCTTCTTCTTCACAAAGAGGACTGGTGCTCCCCACAGAGAGTGACTCCGTCGAATGAATCCCTGAGACAACAACTCATCTAGCTGGCTCTGTATCTCCCTCATCTCAGCAAGCGCCATACGGTAAGGAGCTCGGGAAATCGACGTGGTGCCTGGCTGTAACTCTATGCAAAACTCGACCTCTCTCACTGGAGGTAATCCTGGTATGTCCTAGAAAATATCCTGGTACTCTGAGACTACTCATATCTCACTCAAATCTGCGCCCTGATCCCGTAACATCACCTCCTCGACGTATGCCAGATATGACTCCGCAAACTGGTTGCCTCTGGAGGTCACAACATCACCTCCTCGACGTATGCCAGATATGACTCCGCAAACTGGTTGCCTCTGGAGGTCACCACCACTAACTCAGATCCATCATATGCTCGCCAGATATGACTCCGCAAACTGGTTGCCTCTGGAGGTCACCACCACTAACTCAGATCCATCATATGCTCACAAACTGACTATATTTACAAAACAGTCGATACTCATATGGTAGGAAGATAGCCAATCCATACCAAGGATAACATCAAACTCAAACATACGCAACACGATTAGGTCTATCACGAACTCAGAATCGTCCAAACTGACGATACATCTCCTACAAACATTCTCTAAAAGAGACGTCTCTCGTAAATGAGTAAATACAGATAAAGAAAAATCCAATGGTTACGCCACAAGTTGGAGTTTAACCGTAAAATCGTAGGAGATAAAAGAATATGAAGCGCCAGAGTCAAAAAAAATACGTGCTGGAAAAGAATTCACAAGGAAAGTACCTTCCACCACCGTCCCGCTAGCGCCATGATCGTGAGGAACAACTGCATACACTCTACCAGTCGGCTACGCTTCATCACCTGGAACATATGGGACTATCTGTCTCTGCTGGGTCTCCTAAATCATTCATACCTATCCCGCAATCCTCGAGACAGCTGGAGGTGCCTCAATTCTCAACTGCTGATCCTGACCACGACCCTCAGTGTGGTTCTGCTGTTGATGCTGATTCATGCCCTGCTGGCCTGCTGTAGGTGCGTTGTGGCACTCTACTGCTCTGTGACCGAGCTTGTTGTAATTAAAACAAGCTCCATGAAATCAGCGTTTTTGTTGTGCCCTCTTATCCTGTTGATGGGCCTTCTTATGAGGACCCTATTGATGTGGACCATTGCCTTGCTGCCGGGGTCCTCCTGAGCCTGTAAGAGGTCTCTTACCTTTACCATTATCCCCAGACTATCCTGACTTAGCATTACCATCTTTTCCCTTAATAAATATAGTTGTGTCTGTCTCCTGAGCTATGACAGCATCTGCCACCTCCCGCACTGAATGAAATCTCTGAGATACTAGATATCGGCATAAACCTGGGCAAAGTCCCATCATGAATATCTGGGCCTGCCTCTCCTCGATGTGCCACATGCTAGTGAATCTAAGTAGTGACATAAACTTACTCTCAAAGTCCATCATAGACATATCCCCCTGCTCCAATCGAGCTAGATCTAACTCCTTCCCGGCTTTCACTGCAGTCGTAACATACTGTTCTTCAAAGAAATACACAAAAGTCTCCTACGAGGCCATCAATCTCTGCTCTGGAGTAAAACAAAGTTGATATCATCCTCCTGCATCGCCCTTGAGGTTGAAAGTTGCTAGCCTCTGTTTCTGAACAGTATCCACATTAAGCATGTCCAAAATGTTGCTTACATCTTCCTTCCATTTGTGTGCCATAATGGAATCCGTCGAACCATGAAACTCTGGAGCCTTCAACTTCTAGTACCTCTCTACCAAACGAAGTCAAGCCTCCCGCTCAGCCATTCCATCATCAACTGAAGGTGGTAGTGTGACTACGGTGTCCCCTCTGGCATCTCCTCCTGAATGGGTATTCCCTGTCGAATCTGATCTGCTAACTGCTCCTAAATAACTGTCAGACGAGCTGCTA